ACTAGTAATACTAAAGATGATCATAATGGTGATGGTAACAAGGATGATGGAGGTCAAAATGATGATTATGATGATGGTAGTGGTGGTGGTGGTGGTAGTTGTGGAGATGGTGATAGTGGAGGTGGTGATGGAGGTACAGAGACTCAAAGTCCACATGCAGGTATATTCACTGTAGAGGAAGGATTTACACATACCATACAAGAAGAGGATCATGGCTCTCGACGAATGCTTCAATATGAACAATGCTCAAGTCGAGATCATCAAGGCGCGCGTACTCAAAATTCGATCACTCAACATCGTATGCAAGCTATTATGCATGGAGTTGATATGATTAATGATGGTTTTTCTACTATGGGTGTAAGTAGAAATAAAAGTGAACACCATAATTATGGTTCATCGTCTTCGTATGGTTATGATTCTGGATGTAACATTTCCTCATATGATTATGGATCGAGATATGACTCACGAGAATATGAATATGGATCAACATATAGTTATGGATTTAGCCATGATTGTCGGACATCCTCCTCATAGACAAGACGAAGGTTGGGTAAGGACTGGAGCATTCGTTTCCCAGTAGATTGGATATATTGTTGCAAACTATCAGAGGTTCAGGACAAAATATGATTTATATTATCGTAATTATATGAATTGGACTAACTATTGTTGTCATATTTATACCACATATGGAGTTCCTTTAAGTGACTATCCAAAGCCTGCACTGATTTATGAGTCTACTCGACACTCCACAATAGGATGAATGTACTTATGTAGTTATGTAGTTATGTGCTCATTAGCACTTCATCTGTATTATGAGACCTTAACATTATGTAAAAAAGTGTTTGTTTGATGAAAATCAAGTATTTGAAATTAATTGAAGTGATTTCCGTCTCATGTCAAGCCTTTTTTCCCCTCCAACTTGATGTTATCTTGTATCAATGGATGTTAACCTAATAAACATGCTCAATTAATCAATTATTAAGCTTATCTTTATAAATAAATGAATTATATTTTTGTTTCCACGTGTTTCCATATTTTTTCTGTATTTTCATTACTTTTCTAAAACGTTTCCAATTTTAAGCATACCGAAATGGTACTCTGAAATGATATTTTGCTCCTTGACAATGGACTCCACAAAATTAATCAATTACAATATGTGATCTAACAAATTGTTTGGGTTGGTTCTTATTAGGCGAGATGGGTTGGTTCTAAGTCGATCCTAAGGAAATACGATCGGATCAAATCCAACTTGTAAAAACCAAAAAATTGATTTTCTTGTTATGTTGCAATGGAAAACTGGTTCAAAGCTTTTCAACCCTAGTAGCATGAGTCCAAAAACTTCTTGTACATGAACTGCACGGAAACCCTTGGTACGACACTAGCTAGTGACAACAATCAAAGAGGACTATTGATGATGATGAAACAACTATTTCAATTTCCTTTTTCTTTTCAATGCATCTATTTTAGATTCGATAGCATGCCTCACACATAACTTATCCAAAGCATCGAAGCTGGCAAAGTTAGCAATCATCTGCAACGGCTGCTAGGACGATCTGGATTTGGTAATTTGATCAATGAGTTTAGAAGATTGTCAATGAGAAGTAGAAATTAGGAGAAACAACAAGAAGCTCTGAGATGGATCAATATTTTGCTTTGATACCAATTTATGAAGGACCAGAGGAGGAGGAGAAAGAAAGGAGTTATAAAACTCTCACTGAATGATGAGATAATATAGATTTTAGAATAAATTATATTGACACCCCTTGATGTTTCATAAGTGTCATAGAGACCGCAATTGGAAAATTAAAGGGATTCGCTTTGACTTACCCGTAAGGGTAGTCAAATGAGAGTCAATAATTCCAAAGTCATGAAATTGCATGTCTAAAATATCTAGAATAGATTTGATATATGGAAAAAAATCTAAAGCCGTGATTAAATGTTATAGACACCTATTTAGAGAATATTTATTTGACTAGGAGTGTTTACTAATTTTAATAGAAAACTCTAATTAGGAAATTACCTATTTTGATAGGAAGTTTGATCTATTAATATTGATGTAATCCTTCTTATTTCACTAAGAGTGATATTAATGAAATTGTTCCTTTGTGGAGAATTTATGTTTCTTGATCTCACTTTTCTTCCGACATAAAGATAATATTATTGTAAGGAAAACTCTATTATCTCATTATTTTGTGGGCATATCTCACTTCTCTTTCAGCATACTATTGTCGGAAGGAATAGCATAGGCAGTAGGCCTTACCTTGCACTTTGTGCCGAGCCTCTAGACAAGTAACTAAATTTCATTTCGAAACGGTCAAAACATTTCTGTTTCCATAGAAACCGAAACTAATCATTGATTGAATATCAAAATTCCTATGTTTAAAGGTGTTTCGATAGGTTTCAAGGTGTTTCAGCATGTTTCGACCAATATTTTGATATGTTTCAAAACGTTACAATAACGTTTTCGTTTCCAAGATCACCGGAACTATGCATCGAAATAAAATTTTTATCCTTGGCTCCAGGTGAACTTATTCCTAGTGTCCATAAGAATCCTACCCCTGTACCTAGACCTCAAATCACCTAAACAATCTCAAAGGAAAAGCATATGCAAAACCCTTCTTCTAGCCAAAGATAAAATGACTTGGCATCATTTGCTCAACTTACAAACTGAGTGGGTCTCATTTAAGTATATTATATTTTGTCAACTTCCATATTGGTCACCGCTGACAAATAAAAACTACTTACGACACTGACTTTGTATCTCTCCAAATCTTACCTCTTCAATAAGACTACCAAAGACCACCCCACAACAAAGTCATTCTCCTAATCCCCCTACACAGTTCCATCCAATGATAACCGGTGTTCAGACAAAGTTCACTTCCACTTGTCAACAAAATGTTTCCGTTTCCCAATTTCCAAAGAACCTCTTCATTCAATGCTAAATTCCAAAGCCTGTTTCTGCACATTGCTAATTGCTGTGGCCAAAGTTTTCATCTTGAATCCTTTAAGTGCAAAATTGCCTCAAAATACAGAAGCAAACATCATAAGCATAGCAGTTTCGCCTGCTCACTGCACAAACTGTAACACTCATCAGCTTCCAAACAAAAATCTATTTGCATGCCACCCCCCATCATCCTGGCCTCCATCTTTTTAAAGCCTCCATTGCCATAATGAAACATGAACACAAACACCATCTTTACATCAAAATATCAATATTGGATACGATACTCACCGGATATTTATGGATACATATCAAAAACGCACCACACATATCCAATTATTACAAGATATTTCTTTATTTTTGGATACATCTTGAATATGGGTATCCAATATTAACATTCTTTGGATATGAAAACGAAAACACAAAGAAATATAAAATTTTCTATGTTAGTCTTTATCATTTCCACACAAATTCACATGCAATGATACACAAAGAAATCCATATGACTTTGAAGACACGGGGGAGTTTCTCAAGCATACTCCAATACCACATGTCAAAAGAATATCAAATGGGCTAACTACACCTATCTCTCAACAACAGCTACCCTTATAAGCAAATCAACGAGTAAAATGTTGGTATTCCTTTAATTGGTCATGTTCCCTTTGAGAGTATGCCATGATGAGAGAACCTATGCTTCATCGAAAGCAGAAAATTGTTTATTTTTCAAATTGGTATAAAAGAATATACTGAAAATTACATATGAAACCATCATGAACTAGTAAAAATAACAAGTACAGTTTAGTTTAGATGTATCCAGCCATTATCTGTATCCTATTTTTCTTGTTTTGGTTATATCACTGCATCTATAACATAGCATCTTAGTATCATATATCCGTATCTATGTTTCTTAGATGAAAAGTGATAGAGGGTGCAATCCCTTTCTAAAGTCCCCTAAAACTATTGGAAATCCCTAAAGATAACCCAGTAACTAGAATTGAGAATCTCCCCACAGAAAATACAAGCCTCTATCCACTTCTTATATTTGGGCTAGAGCCCGTACTTTTTACCATAAAGCAAATGATGTCTTTGAAAAGAAAAGGAAGGGCTTAAAAATCAAAAACTTGTCTCCAAAAGGAAAAGATATGCAAAGTGTATAATCAGCAAACTAATCAACAATAAACAAGAATAGGACTTACTTAAATTTAAACTTGTTTTACAGGGTACAAGTAGCCTCACTTTTAAAACCAAACACATTTGGGAATACAAACACGCGAGGGAGAGAGGCGAGACGAGGGTGGGTTTCCATTTATTAAAGAAAATGACATTATTTATGAAAAGTTTCATAAGCATTTGTATCAACTATCACATCTGAAAATAATAAATAGTGAAGTCCTGCACTAGTAATAACTAGCTTACATTATATTGTAATGTCACAATATCATTTAAAAATGAAACAAAAACTAATTAATAATTTATGAACTCTATCCTAGATAATGCAATAGGATTATCATTCTATATCCTACACCAGTTCTATAATGATATATCCAATGTTCTATGAGAGAACCTCCATATCTTCAACAGCAATAGCAACACTTATCGTAATTTCAAAGCATGTTTCGATATTAATAAATTAATTAAGCATTACATAATTACGAAATCATGGCTTTGTCGAGGGCATTCAACAGAGAGAAAAGAACATGATAGCAGAACTCAATTTCTGTACATGTTTTAATAGCTCAAAGATAGTTATGAACTTATGACAGAGCGATAACACAAATTCGCTCCTCTCATTTGCATGGCTTCCACCTACAGTTCCTAACTCAACACAATAATTCATCTTAAAACACTGAAAATTTAAAACCATGTTATGGAGGAAGTAAAAAGCAATCATATCAATTCTTCACTATCGCAGTGCCCCTTTAGATTTTTAATAGCAAAGCTTTTTATAGAATACAATTGATGACCTCATCAAAAACATATTGAAGGATGAAAAATGAGTAGTGATACTCATCAGATGAAAGGACCAATCATCATTAGAGAATCCGTTGATGGAGAATACCTTCCCAACCGAGTAAAACTTGGCTGGTTGGATTTGGTTATGCCATGTCTAACAAAAAAAGAGAAAGAAGAAAAGGAAAAGGAGAGGGAGGGAGGGAGAACCTTGATGTTTTCACAGGATGATATACAATTTGTTATGTACATGTGTATGAATTCAGTGGGAAGTTCGACGGCCTGAGTAAGCCTGTTCACAACTTCCATCGAATGAAGACTCATGTCCATACTGACAAGTACTGTGAAGTATCTGCAGTCACCCAAAGAAAAATTCAGGTCAGAATATGTCCACGTTTGTGAAAAAGAGTAGTAAACAAATGAAACATGAACATACTCTGCAATTTCAGGCGAATTCACCAACTTAATGAGAACTTCAACTGCTATGACAGGATTGTTCTCCACCAGTTCCTGATAGCAAAACGTAAAAGCCTCTAAGAAGCATACATCCGTTATTATAAGAATCCAAAATAGAGTTGTAGAATTACTTACTGGTAGTTTTCTTGGTGTTAGTCCACAGTGATATACAAGCTTTGGGTCATTAGCCAGCTCCACCAAGAATTGCTGGAAAATCAAACACAAGAAAAATAAAATCAGCCAATAGATCTAATACGATCAAGTATCAACTTTCAACATGGAAGGCAAAGGCTTCCAAATTATTTGGAGGGACAAAATATATACTTCCAAAACAAAAAGTTTGATTCAGTACGAAATAATATGAAAGGAGAATTTTCACAAAAACTATCTCCCCATGGCATCTCACCCTAATTACCGGTAGAAAAAAAATTTCTAATGGTTGAAATCTAAAAATCTTAGATTCTAGGTTTAGAGTGGAGAAGAGATGAGAGAGGAGAAAAGAAAATGAAGAGACTAGAAAATAAGCTTAAGGAGAATGAGAGTTAATCTATCTCTCCTCTCATCACCCATATTTATATTAACTCATAATAAATACAGATTACAATAATACTCTTAATTAAATAAAATGATATTCTACACTCCCCTTCAAGTTTGGAGCATAGATATCTTTCATGTCCAACTTGCATACATCTGAATGAAAAATTAGACTATTAAACCCCTTAGTAAACACAATTAGCCTAAATAGGCTAATTGTTCCTTGACCGTCACAAAAGACATACAAATCAACCCATCATTTAACTTCTCTTTAATGCAGTGTTTGTCAATCTCAATCTGCTTTGTTCTGCCATGCTAAACTGAGTTATGAGCAATATTTATGGCAACCTTATTATGACAATACTAACGCATAAGTTCACCATTAGAGACACTCGAGTATTTTGTTAAGATTTTCGGCCACATAAACTCATAAATACCATGAGACATAGCCATGTATTCTGTATCTATACTAGATCTAACCACCACTACTTTCTTCTTACTCCGCCAAATAACTAGATTTCCTCCAATAATGGTACAGTAACCTGTAGTAGACCTTCTATCCTTAATGATAAACTTTGGGATAAAGTTTTTTTTAAGGAGAATGAAATGTTATGTGCCTATTTTTATATATAATTTTAGATGTAGTTGTTAGTGGTTATTAAGTTAATGTGCTAGTGCGGTGATGCTAGTGGGTAGTTTTTTAGGTAGTTATTTAGATGGTGGGATGATGGGTATGGAAGTTATCTTTATGGCTATTTTTAATTTGTATGTAAAGAGCTCATTGTGAATGAAATGAAGAGGTTAAATGTGAGATAGACTTTATTATGAAAGGCTATATATATATTAAAAATGTGCACATAACATTTTTCCAATCTATATCTGTGAAAGTCTCTTAATCTCAAATTATCTTGCTTTGAAAACAATATTCCTTTATTTAGAGATGATTTGAGATACCTCAATATACGATGAACTGCCTCTTGAAGAGAAACTCGAGGAGCATGCATAAATTAAGTAACAACACTCACCACATATACTATGTCTTGGCGAGTGTAAAAAAGGTATATAAGTCTCCCAATAAGCCTCTAATATCTTTCTCTATCAACTTGATCATCTTCATCACTTCTCAATCTATGGTTTGTCTCAATAGGCCAGTGTACAAGTCTATAACCTAGCATGACAATTTCCTTTAAGAGATCAAAGATATAATTCCTCTGTGATATGAAAATGTATTTATCTAATCCGACCACTTCAATCCCTAGAAAATAGCATAAAAGCTCCAAATCCTTGATCTCAAATTCTTTCACGAGATAGACTTTCAATTTGGACACTTCCTCCATATCATCACCCGTGAGTATAATATCATCAACATATCTATAAGAACTAAGATCTTATCATTCCCTCATTTGATGAAGATCATGTGCTCTGTATGACTCTTCTTGTACCCAAACTTAATCATTGCCTTATAAAATCTATCAAACCAAGCTCTAGGAGACTGTTTTAGTCCATAAAAAGATTTTTTCAACTTACATATTTTTCCCTCTATAGCTAGAGAAGAAAAAACTAAAGGTATATCCATGTACACTGCATCCTCTAAGTTCAATGAAAGAATGCCTTCTTTACGTCCAGTTGTTGTAAATCACACCCCAAATTGACAGCACAAAGAAGGATGACACAAATGGATTAATCTTTGCCATAGCAGCACATGTCTCTTAATAGTCAATGTCAATTGTCTGAGTAAACTCCTTAGCTACCATTATTGCTTTGTATCTATTCACTGTACCATCTACATTCTGCTTGACAATGAACACCCACTTACAACCTACTAATTTTGTCTCAAGTAGAAAAGACATAAGTTCTCAGGTTTCATTCTTTCTCAGAGCTCTCATTTTTGCTACCAATGTCTGTTGTCTACTTGGGTTTGCAAGGACTTCATTTCAACTATGAAGAAGAGATATAGAAGATAAAGACGAAACAAAAGCACAATAAGAGGAAGACAAAGAGTCATAAGAAACAAATTTAGAAATAAAATGTTAGGTACAAATTCGAACTTCTTTTTCAATAGCAAAAAGTAAAGAACTATCATCAACATAATTACTATAAAGAGGTTCATCTATTTTAATAAGATAGAAATGGCACACTCAGGTGACCACAATAAGGGTTGAGATTGATCTAAAAATTTGATCCAACAGTTTGTAAATTGCAATTATTTGTGCCAGATGAATGATCTAGATTAATCTAAAAATTTGATCCAACGGTGTACAATCATTTACCAAAAAATAAA